CCCCCAAAACCCCAAAACCCCAAAACCCCAGAAGAGATATTAAGCTTGAATTGATATGAGATAAGCTATCTTTAGTCATAACTAGCTTCGGATATTTTGGAACTTGATGGCTTCATTAAGCTTAGAATAGAGTCTGTAGCTAACTTTTGAGGGCGGAAGGAAGCAGGATCACGATCTTTAGATTCTCTAAGGGAGTATGAGGGAAGTTTACTCTGTAGTCTTGATATTAGGACGCTTGAGACTTGATTGAATACTTGCTACTGCGATACAAGGTCTTCTAGAATGGTTTTGATCCATCATTGTTTCTATTTGATTATCTATTAAAGGTAATTCACAAACGTACTTTTGAGTGGTTTCTTGCTGAACACTCCTGATACAAGTTTGTAGTCTTGCTCTGTCCATTCTTCATTCATATAATCATTCTATTTTTGGAATAAGAGCTTACTATAAATTTATCAATTTTGATGCGGTAAAGTATTTTATTGAGCAAATTGGCAAATAACTTTGGAGTTTTCTTATCATTATCTTCTTGAACATCAGTATCATCCGCATTTCCATCAATAATAAGCACATTGGATCTCTGATGTTTGATTATATATTTCTCGCTATCATCTAGGAGTGATCTGACAAGTGCTTGGAGATTCCTCATGCTCTTTCTGAATCTTACTGCATCAAACTCATGAGCATACTTGTCTTGCCCTTTGGTGTAATACTTAAGTCTCCTTTTGATATTAAGATTGTTCTTTTTATTGACATAGCAGTGAAACATAAACTTGAAGTATCCACAAGCATTGTAGAAGAGGTCAGTAAATCTCCAATCGTAATTAGATCTTCTCTGAATCGACTGTTTTGCTTTTTCACTTAACTCCTCTTTGTAGTTTTCATCAAAGTTAACATTTCTCTCACATTGCCTATGAGAATATTCCATATCTTTTATGCTTGCTTCAGAAGAATCTTTGCTTTCTCGAGCACTCATAACTTTGTTTGTTGGAATTCTTTCATCTAAACTGATGAATGTAAAATACCTTGAGAAGGTTTCTCTGATTCTTCAAGCAGATACATCTTTGAGAATATTGTGTAAAAGAACAGTCTCTCTGCAAATAAACCAACGATGAGTCCACCAGCAATCGAGAATATCTCAAGAAGACCTCCGACGTTTCCAAAGGCTTCTAGGACAGTAAAGACTGAGCGATCGTAAGATTTTGAAGATGGATCTTTAGTGAATATGATATCTATGAAGTATGAGCATGCTCTTACCAAGAAGAGTTTCATCTGGGTTCCCTTCCGCGCCGATTCTCTCAATGACTGTATCAAAACCAATGAACTCTTTGGTATCTCCTCCAGGAGCAAATGCGAAGTAATTGTCTTGGATTTCAGCTTCGTTTTTCCTGTGAAGTTAGACCATTGCTTACTGAAGCCTGACACCAATATTTTGAGAGAACCCTGGTATGAGGTAGAACAAGAACCTATCATCGAGATATGTCTTGATCGGATTGTCATAGTCTTCAAAATCAAAATATGTGTTCACCTAAAATGACATATTTTTATCAGAAAATTTTGAACTTTTCAAATCTTCATTTAGAATGAAGATACAAGTTATACCCAAAGCATAACTGATAAATCTTGTTAATAAAGACACTTACAACATAGAGTCTGATCTGAACCTTGCTAAAGATGGAGTCAATTGTGGCATTTGACTGGCAAGTAACAGCACTTGTTGCATTGTTTCACCTACTAATAATATCATATTCTTGCCTGGCAATACTGAAGGAGAAGTATGATACAGTTTCTGAGAGAATGTTTCCTAGCACTGAGAAATTTCTAGAGTCAGGACAATAAAATCTAAATGCTATTTGTTATACATTTACTCGCTAAGCTTGAGATCATCAATCTATAAGTAGTTGATAGGCTTACCTCTTGCTGATTGTCATATCTAAAATTGCTTCCGCATCTAGAGACATCAATGGGCACTCTATTATAGATTCCTACAAAGATTCTTAAATGGGTTACCAGAAGCTAAAATTAATACAGTAATTACTTTGATTCCCGTAAAATTGATCGATTGAAGCTGTGCCATAACTTGGTTCATTGAACAAGTCAAAATCCATTCCATTTATTGTGGCTCTGACAGCAAACTGAAATTTCGTATCGCTGGAGAATTAGGTTTCAAGTTACGTGAGATTAATAGACTCTGTGTCATTCAAAATGTCTAAGTTATGATAGTGAACAAACCTAAACAAGACTAAAATAATCAAGATATTCTGATGGCATTCAGCAAATTCAAGCTTATCAAATTATTACTGATCAAGACTGACTCTTTTTTAAACTATAACCTTACTCTGAACAGTGGTGTTTACATTTTTGGAACTATTCTTGTTGGCTAAGTAATTAGATTAAGCTGTTACTAATCATGATGGATATCATTTGGTAGGTGTACAGAAGGATCACTATCTTGATGATCAGCGAGATCTATACTTAGGAGTTTGTGATACTATTCCTCCAAAGAGAGTCTTGAATTCTCTATATAGAATTAAGTGAACTTCTAGATCTAAAAGACCATTTTGAATTGATTCAAATCCTTTTGGCTTACTCTTGTCCTTTAAAAGTGAATGGGATTGTTTTGGGGTACCTATTATTGATCAGTCATCAAAACAACAGATTAAGAAATTCCTACATACATATCTACTCCTTTAACAGTGCTGAGCATGTATTTGGAAACTCCTGCAAGGATATTTTTAGTCATTTTATTTTATTTTAAAACTATAACCTTTCCCTGGGGTTTTGGGGTTTTGGGGTTTTGGGG